AAATGGAATTGATAGAAACTGCAAAACACAGCTTTTACAGCATACCTCTAACATTAAGGAATGGTGGTTCAAAATCTACACCCTTGATCATTCCGAGGTCTCAGAGGCTAGAATCCAATTGTCTACCTATATCCTCTGGTGGCTTTAGAAATCGAGGAATCTTTGGGTATTCTAAGCATCCCTCATGCCAGAAGTAAAGGTTGTTCAATTAGCTCACTCAGATTGGACTCAATTCACCGTGGTTGCTTCTCTTTGATTAGTTTTTATCAGTTGTAGCTAGGTTGTTTCCTTCTTTCTCAAAGTGTTTACCCTGCTAGGCTTGTGCAGTAGAGGGTAACTACACTTTGATTTATTTTTATTTTCTTTGGTTGGTGTTCCTCTTCTTGAGGTTTTAGACCACTGTTAAGTGTGTCTCCCAGGTTTCTTTTCCGAATTTGTTCTGTTGAAACTGATGTATTAGGATTTTATCCTCTTGAGTTATATGATAATTTCCCTATCGTTTTGGCAAAAAAAAAAAAGAGTTGATACTCAACCCAGTGTATTTTTCTCACACTCACAGGATTTACTCAAACACTCTATTTTTATCTCACTGAAAAATAACATTCACAAATATTATTTGTTCACTCTTTTTTCTTCTTCTGCTCTTTTGCTTTTGGTGTATTTCTCTTCTATCGAATGCTGCTATTTATACTGGAGAAAGATGCTTAAAATTGGTTAAAGTTGGCAGCCTATTGCATAAACAATTTGTAGTGGTTGGAATCTTACATCCACTTTTGGTTGGCTGGACCCATCACGCGGTTCCACAGATAACCGACGTCTCGTACTTTAATCCGACTTAAAGATAATAAAAATTCGGCTAATTTCTAGCTTTCTACTCATTTAATCCCTGTGACTATAATTGTTAAATTTCACATAACAACACTACTCTTGAGTCATGTAGGACCAAGACTTTTGCAGATTAGAGACTGCATATAATGTAGTTTGCATTTCTTTAGAAAAAGGTACACAAAAAATGGGACGACCACAATCTAATAAAAAAGTGTTAAAGTTTCTCAGTGAAACAGTCACTTT